TTTGGTACAGGTACTGTGTTTTTGTGATTTGTCCCCATTTGTAAAATTGGGTAGTCCCTTGTGGAAGTGGCATTGCTCATTCCCTGCCTGACAGCTGGGACAGACACGAGGCTTGGGGAATGTATCTGCAGTCGGGGAGGAGTCGTAGGAGGGTAAAAATGCTCTGGGTGGCTCTGGGTGGCTGCATTCGTGGTGCCCCACCTGAAAGGCTCAAGCAGAGCCTGATTTTTAGGTGACAAGTGCCTGGCACCTTCGGAAAAATCTGAAGGCATCTTAGACTCTGCGTCCTGAATCCTCCGCGGAGGCTGGGATGGCTGCCCACAGCGGTTCCCACCAGCGGACCTCAGCGACGGGGAACTCGTGCGTCTCGTCTCGGGGAGGAGAGGCAGGAAAGCCCCGTGGTGCTGCCTGCGAGAACTTGTCCCGGGGTGCAGCTGAGTTCAACTTTCTCTTTCCGCGGGAAGGATTAGCTTATCAAGTGCCATTAAAGCTACCCATAAATGCTATCAGTTCTGTCCCTGTCCTTGAAAGAAAGATGATTTATGCTTCAGGAAACTGAATTCAAGCCCTGCTTCACCACTGCGTGACTCCAGTTTAAACTGGTAAAGGGTTCCTGATGCAAAACTGGAACAGTATTTGCTGGTGGTGAATCTGGGCCTCAGAGGAAAACACTTAATTTGAGCATTTTGGACTGAGCGGTACAGCTGCTGTGCGACTCTGCAAACAACATGTGCCGGGTTGGGTGTGCCTTGGGATAATTTATGAATACTTTGTGTTGGCATAGTTATCAGGACATTTATTGCATGAATATATGTCTTCAGCTCAGTGTGAGGATGTCTGGAAGAAGTCAGGAAAATAGTGGCTCAAGACAGCCACCCTTAGCGAGCTCTGAGTGGCCGTCAAGGGATGGGGCGGGGAAAGGCAAAACCACCAGCCCAAACCCTTTGCATCACATAGCCATCTTCCGTTTCTCATTTCCCTTCTGCCTTGCTTTTTTTTTTTTTTTTTCTTGTTTACTCTCCATTGTGTCCTATTGCGGGCACTTATTTTCACTTCCAGCTCTTGTCGTTATTCCACAAACTTTTTCTGCCTCCTTGAGTTTGCTCCAGGCTGGAATTCCCAGGGCCTGGCCTGGCAGCAGGTTGTTGCTTGCAAGGGGATTTCCTTCGGCGACTTCACTGGCATTTTCATCTCTGCCTAAACTGATCCTTATCTGTCGTTTTTCCAGTGTTTCACATTAAATGTTTTTTTTTATTTGGTGGTTTTGATCACAGTTTTACAAACACCCTTTGCAGCCTGAGCATTATAGCTTGTTCCCACGAGCTCTGCGCATGTATTTTCCTGGGGATACGGATTTTCCAGAGTTGGTTGGCAGCGTGGGGCTGGCAGGATGCGGCGGCAGCCGGGGGCCGTGGCTGGGTGCACGGGGGAGAGGGGCAGCGCCGGGGGGCTCCTGCTCCCACACCCGGCTCCTTCATACCCAGGACGGGAGGACATGGGAGCTGAGCACTTCAAAGGCACCTGGAACGGCATTTTGAGACTATGTTTACTTATATACTTACACTTGCTTACAGAGCTTATCTTTTTTTCCTCATGCATGCCCTGGGCAGACACGCAAAGGGTGACTCCGTACCCCACCTGCGCCCGGGAGCCGCTTTGGGGTTGGCGCGAGGGGAGGAGGGCGATGCTGAGACCTGGCCTGGGGCTGGATGAGCTTTTGGCGTACAAGGAGTAGCTTTAAAACAAACATCTGATCCACCCTCTTCACAAAGGGGTTAGCTTATCCCGGCACAAATTGAGAAGATTTTGGATGTTTCCAGCCATGTGTGCTTGGCTGGGAGGCAGTGGGGCAGGGAGGGGGGAAGCAAAGCTGTGCAAGGGTGTGCAAGGGTTTCCTTGTTTGGAGCCCACCCGGAGGCCTGGAAATCCCTGTTCCTGCGGGACGGTCGGCCCTCGCCTGGGTTTGGCAGGCTCTCGCAGGGGGATTTCACTGCCCTGCAGAGGTGAGCGCCGTCCGCTGGCACTGCCAGGGCAGAGGGGCTGCTGGCTCCGCGAGGTTTGCTGCAGCTCTAGGGGCACCTTAGATGCCGCAGGAGCACTTTACTACCGAAACGCTTCTGGTGGAGCAGCTTTTATTCCCCTTTTAAAAAAAAAAAATACTTATGTGCTGCTGCAGGTTTGGGCTGTTTTATTTTTTTATTTTCATTTTTTTTTCTATAAGCAGCTCTGCCAGCTTCTCAGAGGCGGGTCCCAGTGTGCCAGCTGCAAGGCTGACATCTGGCACTTTCCCTTCCCGCGCTCTCTGGCAGCAGCAGTGTGCAGAGCTGCCCACGGTGTTTCCCACCGGCAGAGGAAGGCGGGTGACACCCGGGTGGCCCTGGGCGCTGGCAATCCTCGCGCCCTGCCTGCCCACAGGGTTAGTGGAGGGGAAATGGGAACGGCACAGGCAGCACATCCCTGCCCTGTGTTCGGTGCCTGGGTTCCCGTACGGCACCAGCCGGGAAACCGCTGGCGCTACCAGCCAAGGTGCCAGCGTGCCTGTGTCGGGGCACAACCTGCCGTCCCCCGGCAGCGTGGACCCTGTCCCCGACGCCTCCGGTGTGTGAGCCGGCAGCCCTCGTGTCTGGGCTGGCACCTTGGTGTATCCAGGCACCGCGTGTGTGCAAAGGTGATGGATTTTACTGTAGATAATGACACATACCTATAGACACGATATATCTAGTACGTATATGCAATACCTCCTATTCTATTCTATTCTATTCTATTCTATTCTATTCTATTCTTCTGTCGTATCCTATCCTGTCCTGTCCTGTCCTATCCTATCCTAATATATAATACCTAGTAAGTCCACAATATGAATGGTATATATATACTTATGAAGGTATACCATATATATCTGTATCTACGCTGAGAGAGTGTGCGTGTATAAGTGTGATATGCATATATGCATCTCTAGGTATGTATCTATAGAGCGTCTAGCTAGTACATGAGTATGCCCGCGTGCCTACAACACCGATGCAGTGTGCATACGTACCCGTCTCTACAGTACCGATCTGACAGACCAGCGTCTCCAGTATGCGGAGGTGGTACCCCGGCGCGTGCCGCTGTGACGCGGACCCGCGTGGGGCGGCCCCGCCCTGTGCACGGCCGGGTTCTGGCACCGGGGGCGTGGCCGGGGGCGTGGCCGTGGGCGGACGCGCCCCTCGCAGGAGGGCGGTGCTTTCCCGCGGGCCC